TTTGGACAGAAAAAGTATGAATGAAAGTATACTGTTTGGTTTATATTGGGGTGGACATCGTACCTATTTAGAAAAATCTTTTAAAAATGTCAGAAATTCAAATTATTACATACGCAGTATGGACTCGGTAGGGACTATAGACAAGTTTACTGTAAAAATATTTGTTTGGTTGTTGCTTTTATGTTATTGCTTTGTAATTTCAGTTTGTTGTTTAATAAAATTGTTATTTTCGGGTAATCTTATTAATTTTTTAATTTTTTTCAGGGTTTTCAAATCATTTTGAATTATATTAGACAATGGAACTCCGAACTGATGAAATACAGCACGCAACATTGTCAACCACCTTCAAACAAACAACAAGTCAGCCATAATGAGGTTCAGAATGAACTAATCACCGATGGAAAAAATCTATCCTACAATTTGTCAACCAATGATTTGAAGAACTCAGGTTATTCAGTTTCAGGCCAGCTGAATAGTTTCAGACCAGAATGACTGCAGGTGCACAATTGCCAAGACATACAAAATACACAAAACCTGAAATGGGGAAGGATGCTGCAGAAAGAGCAAAAGTACAATAATTATAAAGCTCTCAATGTCATCAACATGGAATGATGACAGTAACTGAAATATTGAAAGCTTTTCTTGAAAAACTTCTGAACTTTGCCATTGTGCCCGCTTTGGAAATAATCAGCACTATGGAATCTTTCAGTTGGTCTAACCAATGTGGAACAATTCAAGTGGTAGACCAGACAGCAACTAATGTTGGAAACGCTCCCAACATCTAACAGCATCCGTAAAGACATCAACTTTGTAACTGATTATCTTGATGGAAAATTTCCCAACGGACAAATTGATATTAAATATCCAATTCAATAGCAAACTCCTTCTTACATATCTTCTTCAACGATATGATGAGATGAAACAAAAGTTTGTAAACGTTCCTTTGGTATTAATTTTGTTTATAGTAATTTATTATTTTCAGCAAAAATGCTATTTTCACTATGGAATCTTTTACTTCACTCACTGTCACAACCAATGCCGAAAAATTCAAGTGGTAGTCCAGAAAGCAACTAATTTTGGAAACGCTGTGTAGGTTTTATCAATCTAGTCTAGGTAGTACTCCTTACACGGTATTGATTTCGGATTATATCTTTATTTGTGATGAACTTGAAATAGAACTCCAGTAATGTTCAATATCTTTATCTCAATTGGTTTAAAAGATAGAGGCTTCATTATCATCAATCATCCTGTTTGAAGATGTACTCTGAATGAATTAGGAATTTTCATTTCAGTACCATTATACGGGAAAACCAGTTAATGTTGCTTCAATAGTTCAATAGCCTCTATCTTTTGATCCAATTGAGATAGAGGCATGACCCAAAAAGAGAACCATTAACAACAAGTTCAACAAAATCAAAAAATTCACCAATATCGTTCACCAAGTGAGATATTGCCTCTAACATCGAATGTGGGACTGCCGGTTATCTTCAAATACTACAAGAGTGTAATGCTCAATTTTGAGCTAAAAACTGATTTTATGTTAAACTAGACGGAAATTCAGTATACCTAATATCTGGTTTACCACAACTCGGTTTTCTTTAATTGAGTCGAATAATTTTTTTCATTTCCAGCAAAAAATATTCTTAACAAATATCCATTTCGACTTGGTGGCTTTGAACCACCACAAAACCACAAAGACGTCAGAATCGATTCTGAACTCACGATCAGTTGATTCCAACCTGTCGATATTCCATACAGACTTGATACTTATAAAACTGTTGAATGTAAATTCCGCATTTCTAGTGTATCTTAAGCCCTAAAAGTGCCTTATAATAAGATCAAGTTATCGTTTGAATAACAGTTGGAAGTAGTAGTATGATGAAGGAGTAGTGTAATACCTGTTATTCAAAACAGGTGGTGTTCATTATTTTTCGTTGTGACATTCATCATATTTCCCTATATTTGTCATAAAATCTATAACTATGTCTTGGAATTCAGTTTTGTTCATTCTAGTTCTTACTACAAATGCAGAAAATAAGAATCCAAGAAACTAAAATATATTTTCAATTAGAAAAAGAATCAAAATCATTATTATTTTACTATACTGGACCTATCAAGTACTGAAAATAACAATTCCGTTGGTACCAGTCAACAACATTCCGATTACTACAAAGGGCTACAGACATTCAATTTGAATAGTATGTCTCGTAAGTGATCATTTAAATGTGTCGAATGGGTTAAAACTGATTGGTGATTCTTGGTGATAAATTGTTATTATCGAAATTTGTTTTCGCTCCGTATCTTCGAAACAACGCGTCCTATCAGAAATCATCACAAAACAAAATATCTTCAGAATAGTCCAAGGAATGTTTAATAAACACCCGTAAATAGTGGGAATTTTTCAAAAAATAAAAAGAAAAACGTTACTTTTTTGGGAAAGAAAGTTTTTGGCTTTCTACTACTCCATCTTGATACAAAAAAAGGGGGGATACAATGAAGTTTGAAAATGTCCGTATAGGATGAAACTGCAGTAAAGTTAGTTACAAATAAAAGTGATAAAAAACATAGAAAGTTTCATTTCACTTTTCTTCAAGATATTATAGTTATCTGCTTATTCTTCTGGAAGAATGAGAAATATCCAAGTCGCTGAATTCTTATAACATATACTTCATACCGCTAGGTGCATTTTTGTTGATGTGCTATCAACTTTAGTACATTATAAAAATGATTTATATGACATAACAACGTTTACCGGGTCAGCTTGTATTTCAATAATTATGTGTAAGATATAAACTGAAGTTTTGACTAATATATTCAATTGATTTAAATTAAAATTCAATTCAATTCAATTACATTCAGTTTTGAAATGGTATAAATAATTTTCAATATACAAATGTCAGAAGTTTTCTGTTATTTGGAGTAGATGTTACAATGTTTTTGATAGTACCAACCAGTAGAAATGCAAGAAAGTTTCATATTTCAATCGAAAACCTTCATCCAGTTCCAGAATAAAAGAAAACCTTTAAAAAGGAATATTTTATGAATGCTCTCGAATTATTTTGTCATATAGCGTCTTCTAGGAATGATATCTGTTTCACTTTCCATGTGAATGATGAAGATATTGAGAAACAAAATGTGATGTTCGTGGATGAGAGTAGTGATTTAGTTAGTGATGAGAGTTAGTGAAAGATAGATCAAGTCAAACTAGCATTACACTTCTGAAACTCGACAGATGTATCTGATCCTATCGTCTAAGAACTTATGAAGAGGTGAATGTTGTGGATTTACATTCAGAATTTTTTTTCTTAGTTTCTAGTTTCGATGACCTTATGGGATAATATGGGAGAAAAAGTGCCAATGCTCAACACTGTGAGTCGATTATTTCGAAATTAAATTTGTTTTTTTCGTAAAAATATAGGTCGATAACAACAATAACACGCGAAGAGAAAAAATGAGTTGATTGAATTTTCCTAGCAGATGTAACCTATAATACATCTATTTCAAAACTGCTATTTTCAATTGAAAATTCTGGAATTCTGAATATACATTGAATATTCCAGGTCAAAATATGTTTAAGATTGTGCAGAAATAAAGCGACGAATATTTTTTTGAATAAACACGTTGAAAAGTCGGTTCACAACGAAACAATGAATTCAATGTGAATTTTTAATTCACAATAATCATTATCAAATAATATTGTGTTCAAAATATATTGTTATAATACTTGCTGAATTAGAATTTGAAGGTACATAGGTATCTTCCAATGGGCTTATAAAATTATAACAAAACAAAACCTATGAACCTTGAATTGGAAATATTTGAACAATATGAGTTTTTATCAAATGAAGGATACAAAATTTCTAAAACAATTATTGGTTGCTTCAGATAGAATATCAAGTTGATTGAGATATATGCTTTCCGAAATTTAGAGTTTATTTTTCACATTTTCTCTTATTATAAGATATTCATCGGAAAATAGCTTGATCTTGCACGTCATACAGATCAGGCATTTTGAAATATTCAAATCAAAATTAAATTAACCAACCTCTTTTGAATAATAGACATTATGAATATGAAATAAAATTACTCGGAAAAAAAATTATGGAATAATTACAAGCAGTGATGTTCCCGTAAAACTTACTGAACATTTCAAAGTGAACAACTTTAAATATGAGTAAACTGAATATGGGTAGGTATTTTTGTCCTACAACAAATTCATTAGATTTGTTTCATTTTCTTAGTTCATTAAAAACTTTCCAAAACAGAAATAAATTTTGTGACTTAAATAACATATTAAAATGAATTACAAAAATTTGTTACAACCTTAATTGAGAAAAAATTTGCTCGACAGGTAAATGTTGATGGTTTTTCATTGAATGAGTATAGTTTTCGGAAAGTAAAGAGGATGTCGGTAGAAACCATAAATATAATGTTTTGAAGTGACATAACTAGAAAAATAAACTGTTCTGAGAAAATAGTAAATACAATTTACTGTAAAGGAACATTTGTTGCTATATTTTTGACAATTTTTTTGTAATTTTCCAATATACTCCTTTTTGAAAAGTGGCGTTCCACTGTATGATCAAATTTAGGTTTACCATTTTAAGAAGTTTGGACCTGGTTATCAAACACTCAACATTTCAGTAAAATCAATTAATTTCACATCCATTCTCGTTTCAATTTAAAAAAATGAAAAACTGAAACAAAAAAATAATTTTCCCATTAAATTACTCATTTTAATATATTTTCCAACAGAAAGATTAGAAGATTGAGTTGCGTGTTTGTGATATGCTTTTTAATATTATTTCGAGGCATTTTCAATTGAATTCATTTTAACGTATTTGAGTTTTATTGTGAAGTATGAAAACGGAAAGTATTGTGAAAAACCTATATTAAAATTTTATGGAAGCCGTTTTCTATCATGATATATCAATACAGTTTGAACCATTAACAGAAATTTGCATGACAAATTGAAAATATGGAAATAAAAAATAACTCACCATTATAGAGTAAGGTAGTCCCATGTGGCGAAGTAGGGGGCGGACTGGGAGCTGTAGCCCCCTCGGTGGGGCTGGACGGCCCCCAGCAAGAGCTCGGCGAATCTCCAACCACATCAATTTCCTCCTCTTCTTCTTCAGGTGGGTATGTCCTCTCCGGCCAAGTATAGGCCTTGAATTTTTTTGCCATGAGACAGCGAGGCATGTCGCCAGAGATTTTTTTCCGTCCAGTAGCGGAATCTAGTCATCCGTGGCACAGTTACTTCATCGTGACAGTTGTTACACTCACGCACACGCACTTTTGGAGACGGAGAGCAGGAAGACTGAAAAGAGCGAAGATACAGAATAGAGAAGAGACAGCACAACTGAACAAACTAAACTAAACGTCGCCCTCGTGGTTTTAAAGCGCACCCTTAGTGTGCCTTCGCTTTTATATAACAGTAGCGGTGGTGGGAGCCGCGTATATTGGGGTTGAAATCACCCTCTCCCCATTCAACCCCGCTACTACTGCGCGCCCTTACTAGCCGCGCATTAGTCCGGTAGGATTGTTGTGGAGGTTTCTCTCTCTGTTTTCCGAACAATTGTTGCTGCAGGGCTACAAGTACATTATTTCTTCGGGGCAGTATCGGTATTTATTTTGCCGGGATTGAATTATGACTCTTTATCTAACAAGTGTTTTAACACAGTAAACAAATTCAACACGTTCTGTTCTCGAACATAAATGATATTCCGATTAGTATTTGAGTTGAAGTAACTTGTTTTTTTTTATTTTACTAGGAATAAATTTTGACATGTGATATAGCAAGCATTCACATTTTGAAATGAATATTCTCAGGGGAGATTGAACAAAAAGGAAGAGAAGGAAGAAAATAACTACAATGAGAATTTTTTTTTCCATTTTCTTTTTTAAATCACTTTTGATAAAGTAACTGAGTTATCGAAACATGTCCCGATATATTTTTCAAATAAAGTTTGTGGAGATCAAATCGAAGGGTGTAGTTTATGAAATTACAATGAGAAATATGTTTCATTTACAAAACACTTCTTCCATTTGAACATTGAGTCGCATGAAAATCTTTGTGATGGAATTGGCCGATACTTGATGAAAATTCATAACGTATCATTTATGGATAAGTAACTTGTTTCGAACACTTTTTCCTTTTGCTGAAATTGATTTATGATTTTTTATATACACAACTATATTCTCACATATTGAATATACATTGAAAATGTTCTCTTCTTGAACGTAATATAATTTATATTTGGTTGAAATTTGAGTTGAAGCAATATGGTTCATTCATTAATTTTTCAACTTTGCTGAAATAAAATTATGACTTCTTACCCGATTAAGATCTAAATACAAAAACAAATGAAATTGAAAGGTCAAATAAATAACGAGATGCTCGATAAGTGAGTGAATACTTGTTTCGAGATACAAATTTGGTGTGAATGGGCATATACTTCATACATTAAAGTAGTTGAAATCATAGAATGTATAACATATAAAGGTTTTTGACTACGAACATATTCAATCGTAAATGTAATTGAACAGGTAGAGCTATTATAATTTTTCATTATACTTAAAATAAAATAAAATAAGAAAATAAACACTATAATACAATACAAAGACACAGTCGAAGATTATTTAGCTTTCGACCAGTTCTGTTCAATATATCAATCGTTTGGATTCCTGCTTGATAAGAGTGAGACATAGGTATTTAAAATGTTGTTCAATTTTCATTTTCCTTAAAATAAAAATATGAAAACAAATAGTATGATACAGTAACACAATTTTCAACTTAGCGAATATCAAACTTTTAACAGTTCATTTCAATGCAATATATCAATAATCTATATACCTGTTTGCTAACAGTGAGACATTGGTATTTAAAAGGTTTTCAATTTTCATTTCCTTCGATTATTTCAGTGACTACTATTCTAGGCATTTTCAGAATGTATTTTTTAAATTATTTCTTGAAAGTAAAGAAGTTTTTGATGTCGGTTATTAATTTGGGAATTAAATTAAAAACTTTAGGTGCAATGTATCTGTATGATCTTTGACCAAATGATTCAGCCATGTGAGGTACTATATGTTGATTTTTCTGGTGAGTTTCGTAATGGTGAGTGAGCTGTGCCAGATTCCTGATATTTCAAACCAGTTTTCAGATGGTACAATTTCCTTGAATCAAGGATATAACTTCCACTAAAAAGCTGGTCTGAAGGATATCTGTTGTTTTCTGATAGCATTATTCTCAGAAATCTTTTTTGAATGGTTTCCAGAGGCGTAAGGTGCGTTCTCAGTGCGTTGCCCCATCCCAAAATACCATATATCAAATGAATTTCTACCAAGGCGTGGTACAAGGTTTTCAGCTGGTCATATTTCAGTATTTTTTCCAAATATTTGAATCTGTATTGTATTGTCTGTAGTTTTTTAATAATATACGAGATATGGTGATTCCACTTTAAATGACAATCAAACAACATTGAATTAAATTGATTTTTTTTGTCTTTTGTCTTTGCTTCAATCTTCCATTTCCATTTTGTGGGAATTAAATTATGACTCATTCTTCATTATTTCTTGGATTATCAAGCAACTCAGTTACTTCGGTAGGCAGAAGAGCAATTACTAATGATGAGAATTTATGTGGAGAGAATTTGAACTCTGTATTTGTTATTATTGTTATTGAATTGTACCAAAATTTTGAAAAAAAAACAGACTATAAATATGCAAAATTATTTACAGCTATTACCCGAATTTATATTATAGAAATACTCCAAAATATTTTTATTCTGGTCCTTCCTCGTTGAAAGTTTAGGGAGAGAAGTAACTTCCATCACAATGAAAGACCAAGCAGCTCTTACAGGTTTTACAGCGATTTAATATCAGTTCTCTTCAACCGATTAAAAAAAAGATATAGTGATGCCCACAAAAGCGTTGTCAACATCAATATTTCGATCACTTCAATCAACACAGTTGAAGTGAATTCAATTTTTTTCTGAAACTTATTGTGAGTGATTTTTTGAAGTAATGTTGTTGCAATGTTTGTTTCAATTAAGCAGAAACAAATATTAACGGATTCAAGATATTATGGACGGTAATGACACCGTTTAGATATCCTTTATCTCTCAAACAATGATTTGAAGAACACTATGTTACCAATAAAATGAATAATAAAATCGTATGCATTTTTTTCCATTCATGGAATTTTGTGAAATGATACAGAAAGTTGATAATGACATGCATATATGTGTAAAATTTTATTTTTTTCGAAATTATTGTGAAATAGGGTTTTTGCTCAAATTCATGGAATTGTAAGTGGAAAACTCGGTTCATTTAAAAAAAATTGAAGTCGTATGCATCAAGTTCGATCAGTTGAAATGTACAGACAAATTTAAAAATTCTAATAAACATGTGATTGTAGGTCGAAGTTGATTTCAAAGATACTCTCCAGAAAAATAATAGAAACTCAAAAATCCCTGTACAGGACTCTGCATATATATGGTCTGGTGTTATTTTCTCTAATTCTTTGTATTATTGAATAAAAATAACACCAGATACAGTTTCCAAATTGTGTCTAGCAGAAATTACTCTACCACTTAATGAAAATAATTGAATTATTGATAATCAAATGAATATCGCCAAAGTTGTCATATAAATTCCAGCGTGCAATCAATTTCCAATGATAACGTTGATTTATTCAATTTGTATTGGAATTATTTGTATATTGTTCAGACTAGTTTGAAGGAATTTCATATTAATATTCGTCGATTATTGGGCTCCGCACGTCAAAGCAAATTTGAATCCTACCTATACCTATTCGTTCTAATTTTGATTATTTGATAACTTGATTTATTATTTTCAAAATCAATTTTTCGTTAACCAGCTGTCGATACCTTCATGGACGACAACCTTTCAGAAGTCGAAACTCGTACGTGCCAAGAATCAAGTCTTATTTTTCAAAGTGTGACTCCTGGCAGTGGCACTGACTGACGAAAAAGGGTGATCACCTATGTGTTTATCCGATTTCAGTATATTTTGGTATATGTGCTTGATGTCTCTCAGTAAGTTATACTTTCAGCTTCATTGCCAACTAACTGAAAAAGCAGGTTGAATAGTAGGAAAGAACGATTTTGGAGCACATGGACATAGAACACTATCAACCTCAATGGCGCATATCGATGTTTCGGAATGAGACACTTGCGCCTCTTCAGCACCATCCTGGATAACATAACAAAATAATAATAATAATTATAGGTGAAAGCACTCGAATGACCTATAACTAGTCAGATCTTGGAGGAATAAGTCCAGT